TATATTCGCCACCTGTTCAGATGAGAGAGTTTCCCTGGGTAACGTAGCTAACGATGGACCGACACAGGTCGAACACCAGGTCCCGCTCCTCTCAAGGGCAGTGACACACACATATCAAGAGAAGGAGAGACGAAACTGGGACTGAACACCAGCAAGATGTGCATGTGAGCGCCTCCTCGAATGATGGAAGGAATGCTCCCTTGTATCTACAGACAACATTTGTGTTTACAAAGTTCTTCCCACATCGGGATCGCACACGTCAGGGAGCAGCTGCTGTTCAGTGAGAAGAGCAGCGAGTTGCACTCAGGGGAGCTGTGACTGCATTTAAGAGCTCTCATAAATGCAGGGAAACTTTCTTTGTCTCTGGCTCTGACCAGCCCCTCCTGCAATTCATCTGCATCAAATAATTTTGAGCATCCGTCATGTCGTCATGAGAAAGAGGCTCATTCATTGGGACTTGTTCTTTGGTATCAGGTAAATCAAATCTTTGTATGGCCTCCTTCTCCTGAGCACCTCTTTTAGATCAAATAGGAATTATGTAATTCCCTGCAAAACTTAGACCGTATATTGTGACCCCCAGGGTTAAGGCAACTTATTGCCATGTGGTGTGGTTAGTTTTGATGAGGGATGTTACCATATCAAGGGCTTGACATCAGTCTCTACTGCTGACAAATAGCACATTCAGCAGAGGCAGCCATGGTGAGAGAGAGCTCATGCTCTTGGTGCAGACAAAGCCTCTGTCCCTGCCACCATAGTTACATTGTCCACACTCTCTTGTGCAAGTACTGGGGCACCTGACGAGGCATCCTTCCAAACTCCTGGTTGTCAGTGCCTTCCAGTGGTGGGCACTCTCGGGTGGGCATTATGTGGGCACGAGGAAGGACACTTTCTGTCCTACACACCAAGGTATATCTCCATGATTCTTCTCCAAGTCTCTATATCTCTAATCTTTCAATCTTAAATTTTCCAGGTCTCAGACCAATCAACCAAGCTTTTCACCCCTTCCCAACAGCTCACAAACACCATTTCCTTGTCCATTTTTCTTTTTTTATTATTATTTATTATTATTTCTGTCTATAGCACCTGGTCTTCCTAGGTGTTCTCCCATCCAAGGCTTGAATCTGCTTTGCTTCCAAGATCAGACATCGGGCTTGTTCAGGGTGGCATGGCCTTAGACCATGGACCATGGCTCCACTGGAGTGTGAGTCGAGGACCTTCTGCATGTAAAGCAGACCTGCTAACTGCTACACTATGGAACCACGTCCTTGTCCATTTTTCTTCTGAACGAAATTTATAATCATGTGTACTGCTCACAGTTCCATTCACTGGGAGTATTTCTACTTTCCACTGTCTTTCTAGACCAGAAGTTCTTAATCTGTTTTAGTAAAAACTCTGCATGTGGCATAATAGCTGCTACTGGGGCTATCAATTGATAATTTAAAATATTTCATGATTATATATCATATTCCATCAGGTTTCTGCAGGAATAAATGGAGTCGTAAACAAAGTATGTGTCTTTAGTAATTTAGGTGACTCTGGCCTGGTTTAAGATTTTGTACAAATGAATGCATATTTATTAATTGGGTGTGGGGCAGTCAACCGTGGAAGTTTAGAGTCAGTAGAGCTGCACGTGCAGAGAGGTTGCATGACACAGCTCAGCGGTACACAGGGGACAGGGACATTTTATCTGTGTCTTCTACTTTCTTAAAGAAGACTTGTTATTTTTTTTTGAAACATGAATGCATATGATGCCCCTAAATATTTGGTCTTTCTAACTTACCTCTTCTGATTCCTGTTCAAAGATAACCTTCTTGTTATTCTTCAAGTTCTCTTTAGGCATGCATGTCTAGAGAAACGACTGGCTTCAAAGATTTATGAAAATTTCAGTATTACACTTAATATTATAATTAATATATCGCCGTCTTGGTTTTTAAACTTTGGACATAATTGTTATGTCCTAAGATGCGGGCTCGCCCTTTCTATGTCAATCAGATCCCATTTTTAAATCTTCGAGAATGAAGTTCAGCTCTAGTACGTTTGTTAAGGTAATGGAAGACAGTTTCCTTTTACCCCCAAGTTGAACAGATAACTTCTTTCATATGAGCATACATTTGTCATTAAAAATGTTATGCCTTTGAATACGGGTGGACTTCAGAGAATGACAATATGAGCAATCAATCAGTCAGTTATACTGATTGAACAGGACAGAGATGTTTAGGGACTTCACAGACACTCAGGAATGGCAAAGACCCTTAGGGTCCTGTGATAAAATTGGGCTACAACATCCCAATAGCTGCCAACCGGTGGCTTAGCTGATGTATAGCGGCCTACAATCATGTGAGTTCCCAGCCTTGGTGGCCCATAGTACTTGCTAACATCTCCTGTAAACAGGGCTTCCCCGCATTAGCATCTATCCCTTCTGGGGTCCTCTACATCTTGTCCTCATTAGGATCATTTGTTTTAGATAGTTCGAATGGCAAATAATAAATTCTATACCATAGATGAATTATGGTATAGAATTTATTAAGAAACACGTAAGTATATACAAAGAAAGTATATACCTGCATATACAAAGAAAGGTCCAAGTGATCCTAAAAGAAGAAAGTCTGCTAAGAAATTTCTTCCCTCATAAAACAAACTCTCCCCTGATGTTCTGTGCTGCAAAGTCACATTCCTTTCACTCCTGTCGCTGGCGTATGTTTCCCCACCTCATGGACCTCACTTCTGACTAAGGGCAGCATTTCCCCGATGACTGCATGAACTTGGCCCTCCACATCTCCACCTGCCCCTCCGCCAAGACCCTTGTCACTGACCTTGCCAACTACATCTTTATTGTTCAGATTAAGTTCAGAGTACTTGCACTGTATATTCCAAATGTATTAGATTCTGTTTCAGTGGAATAAAAGTTCTGTGAAATATATGGACATTTCTCTTCATTCCTCATTACTTTTATGTGTGTCACCTGAGTAAGATACTTCTAGTTTGCATTGTCTCTTCTTTATTAGATCCCTCAAAGACAATGCACATGCTTTATCTTCAGACGTATGCTCTATATTGTGGGAGTAGAAGACGCTAGATCTTGATTATGGGTATTAGAGTCATACAGAACATACAGTCATCCTTCAGTATCCACAGGGGATTTGTTCCAGGACCCTCACAGGTAACAAAATCTGCAGATGCTCAAGTCCCTTACATAAAATGGTGCGGTATTTGCATAAAATCTCTGCACATCCTCTATATGCTTTATTTTATTTTTATTTTATTTTTTACTAAATTTGTTGGGATAACATTGGTAATACAATTATATAATTTTCAGGTGTACATTACAATTTGACATCTGTATGTTCTATTGTGTGTTTACCACCCAAAGTCCAGTTTCCTTCAGCTACCATATATTTGTCTATATGCTTTAAATCAGAGAATGGTGTTGAGCGCTTACTGATAACCTCACTCCTGAAACTAACGACCCCACATGGAGCCAAGTGTTCGCTTCCACATTAAAACGCAGCATGTCTTACTAGGATTGCATGTTTTGCAAGTGGAATTGTCTGTAGTACTATCCACCAGCTTTTAGTATTATTGTCATAGTATTTGGTTGGCATCGCTTTGGACGAAGCGATGCCCTCTATGATGAACAAGGTCAATAGCACATGACCATGGATCTTCTTGTCCTACCATACATCACATGGCAGAAATGCTGGCCTGATGAAAAAATCGGAATGGCCTCTTAGATGTGCAGCAGTGACACGAACTTAAAGATGACAACCTGCGGTTTTGAGATAAGGTCTCCTGAATGTGAGACCTCAATCTCCCTTAATCCACTGGGCATCAAATGGTTGATGTGTACGTAGGACCACAGATATCCACAATTGGTAATAAACATGGGTTCAGAAAGTGATGTGTAGAAGGAGTGACCTTCTCATGTTAACCCCCAGTGACACGGGAATCTCTGCTTCCCATAGCTTTAAGATCTTCTGGATTAGAGGTTTTCCTCCTATGAAAGGCACATTTTTGTCAGGGGACATAATCTAATTAGAACTATCATCTGGTCTGTTTGGACCACTCATGGCAGTACCCTAACAGGCAGAGAAAGCAGTTACTCTTGGATGAGTGACAGTTAAGGTGAAGAGGTAGAGAGCAGGGGGAATACATCTGGAACACAGGGATTCACTGGAGTGTCTCACAGTATGTCCACGCCCAGTGACAACCTTAACTAGCAATGATGGCTACCACAGCTTGCCAAAGGCCTAGTTACCTGAAGCTCAGACCTCTGCTTCTTTGAGATATAAATCTCTAAGTACCTTTGAGCAGGAACACAAGACCACATCCTGGATCTGAGTCTGTCCACATCAGCTATGTGATACTGCACAAAGAAATGTGTTTGTGTTTTTTTTCTGAAAATGGAGATAATTATTGTGGGGATGATTTTGATGTTCAGAATCAATAATACATATAAGTATGCAATATGTATTTAAATCTCTACATCAGGAATTCTTTACAATAAATCAAACACAGTATGGATGAATTATGGTATAGAATTTATTAAGAAACACATAAGTAAGATACCTACATATACAAAGAAAGGTCCAAGTGATCCTAAAAGAAGAAAGTCTGATACAAGAACCACGAGTACTGTAAAAATAAAATATGATTATGAAGATGATTGATCAGTTGCAAAACCTGTTAAATAGTTATGAGAATTAGTTTGACTAAGTTACTTAAAGGGACTGGATGATCCTCACTTCAAAGTCAAAGTCAAGACAATAACTACATATAGAAGATGCGCGAAGCTCGCACATGGTCCATATACACGGGAGGAAAAAATTGGGGGAAGTCCTCTGCACTCCACCAAGCTGATTCAGAAGCTTTTAACAAGCAAATGAGTCACAGAAATAATGGAAGAGAGTGCTGGTTCTCGACAAAGTCTAGGATGTGAGTTTTTTTCCAAAATGGCAAGTCAGAAGGTATTGTGCACAGATGGTGGTTCTTTGACAAGGTGATCAGCAGCAGCAAGGCTGGCAGCAGCTGGACACACAGCAAGGGCGGCAGCAGCTGGACACACAGCAAGGGCGGCAGCAGCAGCTAGGCCGGCAACAGGTGGTCCTGCAGCAGGTGGACCCACAGCAAGTGGGCCGACAGCAGGTGGTCCTGCAGCAGGTGGTCTGACAGCAGGTTGGGCGGCAGCAAGGCTGGCAGCAGCTGGACACACAGCAAGGGCGACAGCAAGGCTGGCAGCAGCTGGACCCACAGCCGCTGGACCCACAGCAAGTGGGCCGACAGCAGGTGGTCCTGCAGCAGGTGGTCTGACAGCAGGTTGGGCGGCAGCAAGGCTGGCAGCAGCTGGACACACAGCAAGGGCGGCAGCAAGGCTGGCAGCAGCTGGACCCACAGCCGCTGGACCCACAGCAAGTGGGCCGACAGCAGGTGGTCCTGCAGCAGGTGGTCTGACAGCAGGTTGGGCGGCAGCAAGGCTGGCAGCAGCTGGACACACAGCAAGGGCGACAGCAAGGCTGGCAGCAGCTGGACCCACAGCCGCTGGACCCACAGCAAGTGGGCCGACAGCAGGTGGTCCTGCAGCAGGTGGGCTGGCAGCAAGGGGAACAGCACATGGTGTCAGGGGTGGAAGGTGAGTTTCTGTTCAGAGGTGAGTTTCTCAGATTCTACTGACCCCTTCTGTTCTTAGGTTTTTATACCCTGGACCCCCAGTGTTGGGACCAATCAGCAGGACTTTCCTTGTTGTTGTTTACAGTGTTTTTGTAGTCACTGGGAAATTGTCAAGGAGGAAGTTGTTCCCTTTGTGTTTTGAGGCTTCTGTAAATTACTGTTTGATCTTTCTCTTAATTGAGAACATTACCTAAGAATGATTTTCAGAAACGAGACAGACAGGAATCATTCTCAGCAACATTTCTGGTCATGTGACATCATGTAGTCATGTGATACTTCTTGCTGGATAAGAAAAAGTCAGAACAGCTGTCCCTTCTCAGCTTTGCTCCTTTAGCCACACTTAGGTGTCAAGTGCCCTGAGAGCTCAGGAGCTGCTGGGTTCTGTGTTTCACAAAGCTGTGCTTGAGTGTGAGTGTGAGCCCCCAGACAGTCTGATGCGAGGCTCTAGCACGTGTCTGTCTATGGCCACCTACTCAATCGTGTGTCCCAGTCTACCGGAGACACTTGGGTAGAGGACAGGAGGCACATGGGTTTTCATATACAAATCAGACCAAAACGGGAGAGTAGGGGCAGAAGCAGTGCTCTGGGTTTCAGAGCATCGATCCGTTAATGTTCCAGCTGAGTCAGTGATCCATGTGAGACAGCCTACCTTGCACAGACTTTGTTTTATCAATTGAGGCAGACCAGTGAGCTACTATATTGGCCAAAGTATTTTTGCTCTATAAATCTTATGTTGTGTTAATCTTTCAATAAATGTGGAAAGTGGTCGGCCATAAATTCTTAAATGCTTTTTCTGCCCCATTCTTTCTGTCTTCCAGTTACACGTATGTGAGTAAAATTACATGTCGCAGTAAAGTATGGAGTCATTAGTAGTAAAAAGAAGAGAACAGAGTCTCAACATTCACTACCAGCAGAGTCACCTTCTATCCCTGACATTATGTGAGATTTTGAATTCTACTGGTATGTATCTATGCTGCTTTTTTCATTGAGATATAATTGATACATAACATTATATTAGTTTCAGGTGTACAACATAATGATTTGTAATCATAAATATGCAAAATGATCACCACAGTAAGTTTAGTTAACATCTGTCGTTGAAACTGGAGAGAAACTGAGCCCCGGACTCTTGCCACCTGAGCCACTCACAGCCAAAAGATCGACACAGACGTCGAGCTAAATAGAATGAGTGTCTGTTAGAGGGTTGCAATTTCCATAGTCATAGGCGGGCTCCCTGGGTATCTTGGGAGCACCAATTATATAGGAGCAGGCTGATAACGTCCACGGGAACAGCCAAAGGAGCATACACGGCTCATGGGAACAGCAGAAAATGTTCTTCAGAGCAGATTTGCCCAGAGTCCTTTGTTCGTTGTCTTCCTTGGGGCTGCTGACCAAGCAGCCATTTTTGACTTCTGAGTACGGGGAGGGGCTATGCTTGAATTAATCCTGTGTTCTACTCTGAGATAGCTCTTTTATGTCACATTCTTCGTGTCAGTTCTTCTGGACAGGAGGTCCTTATATCAGGTCCTCTTCATCAGCATTCATAGTGACAAATTTTTTCTTTGTGATGAGAAAGTTTAAGATCTATTATCTTAGCAACTTTGAAATATGCATTAAAGTATTATTAACTATAGTCCCATGCTGTACCTTACATTCTCATGACCAATTTTTTCATAACAGAAGTTTGTGTCTTCTACCCCTTCACCATTTTACTCACCCTCATCCCCAACCTCTGGCCACCACCAAAGTGTTTTCTATATCTATAAGCTTAGTTTTTTTAAATGTATTTCACATACAAGTAAGATTGTTTCATATTTGTCTTTCTCTGCCTAACTTATATCACTTAGCATAACGCCCTCAAGGTCCACGTTGTGGCGGATGAAAAGCGTTTCTTCTTTTTTGTGTCTGAATGATAGTCCATTCCACATGTTCTTCATCCATTCACTTATCAGTGGACACTTAGGTTGTTTTCATATCCTGGCTATTGTAAATAATGCTGCAATGGACATGTGGGTGCATATATCTTTTCTAGTTAGTGTTCTTGTTTTCTTCAGATAAACACTCAGAAGTGGCATTGCTGGGTCAGAAGGTAGACCTATTTTTAACTTTTGAGAACCCCCCCCCTACTGTGTACCATTGTGGTGGTTCCTATTTATATTCCCACCAATGGTACACAAGGGTTCCCTTGTCTCTACATTCTCACCAACACTTGTTATCTCGTTTCTTTTTTATTATTATCGTTATCATCACAGTTGCGAGGTGATATGTCATTTTGGTTTTAATGTGCATTTCCCTGATGATTACAGTTGTCGAGCACCTTTCCATGAGCCTCCTGGCCACCTGTATGTGTTCTTGGCTAAATGTCTCTTCTGATCCTCTTCCCATTTTTTAAAAATTTGTTTGGGTTTGTTTGTTTTTATGATGGAGTTCTGTGAGTTCTTTTTATATTTTTAGAAATAGTTTTTTATTTTATTAAATTGATTGTGGTGACAGTGTTTAATACAATTATACAGGTTTCAGCCATACAATTCTATAATACATCATCTGTATATCGCATTGTGTGTTCACTACCTGAAGTCAAGATCTCCTTCAGTCACCATATATTTGACCCTTTTACCTTTCTCTAAACCCTCCCACCCCCATATTCCTTAGTAACCACCATATTGTTGTCTCTGTCTATGAGTTTTTGTATGATTGTTTCTTGTTAGTTCACTTGTTGCTTTTAGTTTTGTATCTCACATGTGAGTGAAATCATATGGTTCTTGACTTTTCCTATCTGACTTATTTGGCTTAGCATGGTATTCTCAAGATCCATTCATGCTGTCACAAATGGCAGTATTTCATCTTTTCTTATGCCTGAGGGGTATTCCATTGTATATATGTACACATATTATTTATCCAATCATCTATCAAAGGACACTTCAGTTGTTTTTTTGTCTCGGCCACCGTGAATAATGCTGCAATGAACATAAAGATGCATGTATTTTTATGAATAAATGTTTTCAAATTTGGGGGTTATCTACCCAGAAGACAGATTGATGGATCCTATGGTAACCCTATTCTTAATTTTTTGAGAAACTTCCATACCATTTTTCATCATGACTACCAATTTTCATTCTCACCAGCAGTGTATGAGGTTCCTTTTTCTCCACAACCTCTCCAACATTTGTTATCACTTGTCTTGTTGATAATAACCATTCTAACATGTATTGGCTGGTATCTTCTTGTGCTTTTGATTTGTATTCCCCTAGTAGCTAGTGGAGTTGAGCATATTTTCATATATCTGTTGGCTGTCTCCATTTCTTGTTGGGAAAATTGCCTGTTTTGGCCCTCTACTCATTTGTTCATTGGTTTGTTTGTTTCTTTCTTATTGTTGAGTTGTATGAGTTCTTTATATATTTTGGATATTAACTCCTTGTTTTTGGTAGAATCTTTAGGTTTTTCTCTATATAATATTATGTCATCTGCAAATAAAATCAATTTTACTGCTTCCTTTTAGATTTGAATGACTTTAATTCTCTTTCTTTACTAATTACTTTGGCTAGGACTAGCAATAACATGTGGAATTAGAGTGGGGAAATTGAACATTCTTGCCTTGTTCCTGATCTTAGAGAAAAAGCCTTTTGGTTATCACCATTGAGTATGAAATTACCTGGGGGCTTGTCATATATGGTCTTTATTATATTGAGGTGTGTCCCCTCTATACCCACTTTGTTGCAATTTTTAGCGTAAGTGAATGTTGAATTTTGTTCGATGCTTTTTCTGCCTCTATTGAGATGATCCTATTGTATTTGTCCTTCATTTGGTTAATGTAGTATATTACACTGACGTGCAGATGATGTACCATTCTCACATACCTGGAATCAATGCCACTTGATCATGGAGTATGATTCTTTTAATGTTTTGTTGAATTCTCTTTGTTAATATTTTTTGAGGATTTTCTCCAAATATATTTTTATTAGAGATATTGGCATATAACTTTCTTGTGGTGTCCTTGTCTGGTTTTGGTGTCAGGTTCATGCTGGCCTTAGAAAAAAGAAATATTCCCTCCTCTTCTATGACATGGTGGAGTTTGAGAAAGATTGGTATGAATTCTTCTTCAAATGCTTGGTAGAATTCACTGGTAAAGCCATCTGCTCCTGGACTTTGTATTTTGGGAGGTTTCTTCTTATGTAGTCAATTTTGTTACTAGCATCACTCTGTTCAGGTTTTCTATTTCTTTACCAATTATTTTTGGTAGTTTTTGTTTCTAGGAAATTATTCCTATCTTCTAGATTGTCCAATTTTGTTATCATATAATTGTTCATATTAGTCTCATACGAGCTATCGATTGTATTTCTGTGATATCAGTTGTTATGTCTTCTTTCATTTCTAATTTCCCTTATTTAAAAAAAATTGTTAATTTTTATTCTCTTTTCAAAAGTTATTGGATACAGATGAATTGTATGAGTGGCCTGATAGCACCTGAGACAGGAAGGGTTCCCCACCTTCATGAAAGCTCTGAAATGCAGTCCCTCCTATTTAACATGGAGCTGCAGATGCTGAGATGTGGGACACTGACTTGTAAACAGAGATTATTTTTTTTATTGTTGAAGTAGAAAATCAATCGCTCTTCTTGCTAGATCTTAGTACTCAATTTCTTTAACACTTGTATTGATATGTAAACATAGGTGCCCTGCAGAAGGAACAGAAGACCCCAACCGGGATCTAGGTCTGTCCATTATTAGCTGCATGACATTGCACAATGATATTTTCTTATCTAAAAATGTAGATAATAATTCGCGGAAGTTTGTTTTTTACTCTAGCAGAGACTGCACATGGAGGGTATGCAATGCGTATATGACTTCCTACATCAGGAATTCTGTACAGTAAAAGACAACACAATATGGAATAAAATAGGTACAGATTGTATTAAAAAGCATATAGGGAGACATTTCAAAGTAATCATGAATAACAGAAATTAGGTGATAAGATGCTGGTTCTCATCAAAGTCAAGGATGTGAATTTGTGCCAAATGACAAATCAGATAACAGAAAGTGTTGTGTCCAGTTGGTCATTCTTTGGCTAGGCAATCAGCAGCAGCATGGCTGGCAACAGCTGGTCACACAGCAAGGGCAGCAGCAGGTGGTTCTGCTGCAAGGGGTCTGACTGCAGGCTGGGTAGCAGCAAGACTGGCAGCATCAGGACCCACAGCCACTGGACCCACAGCAGCATGGAGTGCTACAGCAGCAAGGCCAGCAGCAGCAGCTCACATGGCAAGGGCGGCAGCAGGTAGCACTGCAGCAGGTGGGCTGGTAGCTGGGGAGCAGCTGGGAGCAGCACAAGCTGTCACCGGTGGATGGTAGTTTTCTGTTCAGAGGTGAGTTTTCCAGAATCTAATGACTGCTTCTCTTGTGGAGATATTACACATGCGGTCCCAGAAGTTGGCACTAATGAGTAAGGTTTTCCTTGTTTTTTGTTTATGTTGTTTTCCACAGTCACTTGGGGAATCATAAACAGGAAGTAGTTCCCTAAATGCTGAGTCCTTTCAAAATAAGTGCTTAATCTATTTCTTTATTGAGGATAACTCAATAAAAAAAGAACTAGTTTTCTTTCTTTTAAATGAATTAGTTCGACTAGGAGAGATGATACCTGAAGTAGCTTTGAGTTATTAATTGTTATTGTACCTGAAGTAGCTTTGAGTATTAACATGTTCAAAATGTTTTTGTGGATTAACATTCATTTTTAAAAGTGTCAAAATATACAATTTTCAACTTGGTAAATTGTTATTAATTTCCAACCGGTAAAATGATCTCAAAGTGAACACACCCATTACCACATTAAAAAATATGATTTATCCCCTTCCCTTCAAATTATACCATTCATTCATTCCCAAAGATAGGTAAGTTTAAGCTGTTTTTAAACTTTCTATGAATGAAATAGTATAGAATATGCTATTTGCTCTTTACATGATGATTCTGAGACTTACCATGTAATTATCTGTAGTTCATTCTCCTTGCTATACAGTCTTTCACTGAATGAATAGGACACAATTCATTTGTACACTGTATGGTTGATACATACATGGATTGTTTGTAGTTTGAGACTAATAAAAACAGGGCTGCTATGAGTGTTTTAGTGCAGGTCCTTTGGGAAGTTGGATTGTTTGTAGTTTGAGACTAATAAAAACAGGGGTGCTATGAGTGTTCTAGTGCAGGTCCTTTGGGAAACATATATCAACATTTCTGTTGGATGAACATCTTCAAGTAGAATTGCACAGAGAATCACTCAGGGATTTTATCCTAGGTATTTCATTTTTTTATTCTGGTATATGTTACAATTTAAAATGTTAATTTTTAACTGTTTCTGACATAAACAAAAACAATTCAAGTGAGTGTATGATCTCGTAACCAAACTCCCCTATTATTTCGAAAGTTTATCAATAAAGTTTTTTGGACATTTTACATGCACAGTTCTATCATCCACAGATGAGAGCTTGCCCTTTTGAAGTTGACCTGAAAGACACAAGTAGCAGCAGAACCAGTTTATGCAAGGCACTTTAACGAGAAAAGTTATCATCAAGATGAGCAGAAGGTCTATTCGCCCAGTAGAGGACTACTAGAAATGAATGTCTGTTTCATAAATGGGGGTAGGGTCATCAACCATGGGAGTTTAGGGTCAAGAAAGGCACACAGGTGAAGGTGGGCCATGCACATCTAGGTCTGCATGGGTGAGTGGGCTACCTATGGTCTTCCGGTTTCTTAGAGTTTGCAAGACCACGTGTTTGCCATGAATGCTGGTAATGCCACGAAACAGTCTGTTGTTCCAAATTATTTCTTCTGATTCTTTGTTCAGGAAATAACCTTCTTTTTATTATTTGACTACTCTTTTGGGCATTTGTGCACAGAGAAATGGCTAGTCAAGCAGACTGCAATACTACACTTATTACAGTTACAATCGAAACTACTAATTTGGCCTATTAGTTTACGAGGATGGATAAAGTTGTTATGCTCCAAGTAGGAGACTCATCCTTTCTGTGTAAATGAGATGAGATGTCTGAGTCTGCAGGAATGAAAGCCAGACCCTCATTTTTTTGTCAAAAGTATAAAAATCAAAGTGAAACAATTTTAGGAAAGAGCTTTTTTTTTTTTTTTATCCTAGGTGAATGGATAACACATTTTCATGGCACCTGTAAGATTTGTTTTACTGTGATGCCTTTGAATGTTTGTGGACTTTTAAGGGTGACAGGAATGTCAGCAATCAAACAGTTATAGGGTTTGAACAAGATGAAAATTTATGGACCTCAATGAGACTCAGTAATGAAAGGGACCCTCAGAGTTTCCTGATAAATTTCACTCACAGACACAGAAAATGAAAAATACAATATCCCAGTATCTGACAACTGATTGTTTCATTGATGCTTTGATGTCTCTAGTGACATAACTTCTTACACCCATGGTAGCCCATACATGGTAGCCTAAACAGCTCTTCTTTATGTGAATATGCACCTTTCCCCGGCCTCCTGCATCTTTTATTCATTGGAATCACTTGTGAATAGACATGTCAGAATGGCATTGAGTGGCCATTTCTCCTCCTATTAGACACCTTGTCTCTCGATGGTCTGTGCTGCAGAATCACATTTATTCTAGCCTCAGGCATGTGCTTTCTCACCTCACGGAATGCACTTCTGATTATGCACAGCATTTTTCTGATGACTGAATGAATTTTACAATGCTTATTTTCCCCAAGGATTATGCCATTTGATCTTCATTGTAAAGATGAAGTTCAGAGTAGTTCCTCTAAATATTATAGATGTTACTAGATTCTGGTTTAATGGAATCTGTGGACACTTGTTTTTCTTATTACTTGTATCTTTGCCAATTATGTAAGATACTTCTTGTTTGCATTATCCACTGTCAGAAGTAAGATCCCACAAAGATCATGCATCTACTGAACCCTGATTTTACCTTCAACCAAAAGTTCTGTATTGTGAAAGCAGAAGACAATAGATTTTGGTTATGGGATTTTAATCATATGAAAGAATCCTCAAATTCCTGTCTGCCACCTATGAGTGCTATGTTTGCACGAAAATACAGAGTACACTTAGGCCAACTCATGAATTCTTATTCACATATTCTATCTCCCACTACCATCTTACATATTATGTCCACCCATGGGTTAATCCTGAAGTTAATCTCCCACTACCATCTTACATATTATGTCCACCCATGGGTTAATCCACCCATGGGTTTCTCTTTTTTTTTCCTCATTTACTGGATTAGCCAGTATATAGTCAGATACCTTCCTGGAGAGCCCACAATTTTTATATTTTCAAGGCATATCATAGAAACAAACTATTCACCAAACTTATTTTTGTAGAGAATAGTTTCCCTTTTCTTCCCCCTCAATAATCTATGATATTGTCTCTTATTTATCTCGAGTCTCTGATGTAACACAAACTAACCTCAACCTTACAAATTATAAACATCCACACCAAGGTGTTAACAAGAAGCTGTACTGCATCCAGGGAGAAGAGCAGAGTCTAGTGCTGACCTCAATGACTAAAGAACATATGAGTGATGATTCTTAGTGCAATTTCCTTTGTTATCTGCAAAAAACAAATTTATTGGAATATGTGAACACGCAGTACTTACACTTCCTCAGCTGATAGCCCAGCAGGAGCTTTATGCCATTCAGAGAATTATTCCTACAACAGACCAACAACTCCTGCTATCCAAAGGCAGTGAAAAGAGGACATATTCCCAGTGGAAAGAACTGTGAGTGGCACAATGGATATATAATTGGAGAAAAAGTCACCCAAGGAAATGATGTCCACTGGCTCTTTGCCAATGGTGAAAGGCCTGATTGTTTAGTCTCCTGTCTGGAAGGAGCAAGATTGGAAGATAAAGAGATTTGGAGAAGAATCACTTCGAGGGACACGGTGTATAGGCAGACAGAGTTTCCTCCTTGTTGTGCCACACCAGGTCCCTCCAGAAACCACTTCAGCCGCTCTGGAGAAATACGAGTTTGGGATAATTCATCTTGCCTCCTCCTCACGTGCTCCAACACTTGCCCAAGACAGCATGGGCAGAGCAGCCACGGTGGCAGGGACAGAGGGTGTGTGCACCAACAGCACAGGCTCCTTTCCCCACGGTCGCCTCTGCTGTACGTGTCATAGGCAGAGGCAGAGAATGGTGTTGTGTGCTCATGGATGATATTACTCGTGGGAACTAGCAGCCCACACGGAGCCAAGTGCTCTACATCAGACACTTCCACATTGAGACATAGCACTTCTCCCTTACTGGGATTGCATGTTTTGTAAATGGAATTGTCTTCCCCATCTGCAGTACTACCCACCGGCTGACAGTGTTATTGTCATGGGATCATGGATAGCATTGCTTTGGACCTACGGGCCCATTTTATGAAGAACAAGGTCAACATTAGGTACATGACCGTGGATCTACTTGTCGTACCATCCATCACATGACAGAGAAAGTGCTGGCCTGATAAACACTTGGAATGATCTCTCAGATGTGCAGCAAAGACATCAGCTTAGAGATGACAAACTGTGGGTTGAGATGTGGTCTTCTGGATGTGGTATATACCTTGGTCCAATGGCCATTATATGGTTGACATATACATAGGACCACTTATATCCACAAAAGGTAGTAAGCATGGGATCAGAAAGTGATGTGTAGAAATAGGAGTGACCCTCTCATGTTAACCCCCCTGTAACGTACATGGAAATCCATGCTTCCCATTTCACCATGGCTTTAGCGCTCCTGAATTGAAGGTTTTAGTCCTCTGTCAGGGGACATAGTCTAGTTTTCAACTATCATCTGGCCAGTTTGGACTCCTCGAATGTAGATATTGTTTGGTGAGAAGTAATGATTGTGGAGAGTAGAGAGCAGGGAGAAGTACGTCTGGAACTCAGGGTTTCACTGGGCCGTCTCAGGGTGTGTCCACGCCCAGCGACAGCCATAACTGAGCAGCGACAGCACCAGAGCTTGCCGAGCGTATAGTAACCCGAAGCCCAGACCCCTACTTCTTTGGATGTAAAGGTAAGTGCCTTTGAGCAGGAACACAAGACCACATCCTATATCTGAGTCTGTCCACATCAGCTATGTGACATTGCACAAAAAAATGTTTTGTTTGTTTTTTCTAAAAAAATGGAGATAATTATTGTGGGAATGATTTTGATGTTCAGAATCGATAATACATGTAAGTATGCAATATGTATTTAAATTCCTACATCAGGAATTCTTTACAATAAATCAAACACAGTATGGATGAATTATGGTATCGAATTTATTAAGAAACACATAGGTAAGATACCTGCATCTACAAAGAAATGTCTAAATGATCCTAGAAGAAAAAGTCTGATACAAGAACCATGAGTGCAGTGAAAATAAAATATGATTATGAAGATGATTTATCAGTTGCAAAAGCTATTACATAGTTATGATGTTTGTTTGACTAAGTTACTTAAAGAGACTGGGTGATCCTCACATCAAAGTCGAAGCCAAGACAATAAGTACAGATGGAGGATGTGTGAAGCTGGCACATGGTCCATATACACAGGAGGAAGAAATGGGGGAAGTCCTCTGCACTCCAGCAAGCCGATCCAGATGCTTTCATCAGGCAGATGAGTCACAGAAATAATGGAAAACAGTGCTGGTTCTCCACAGTCTAGGATGTAAATTTGTTTCCAGAATGGCAAGTCAGAAGGTGTTGTTCACAGATGGTGGTTCTCTGACAAGGTGATCAGCAGCAGCAAGGCTGAGGTGGTCCTGCAGCAGGTGGTCTGACAGCAGGGGCGGCAGCAAGGCTGGCAGCAGCTGGACCCACAGCCGCTGGACCCACAGCAAGTGGGCCGACAGCAGGTGGTCCTGCAGCAGGTGGTCTGACAGCAGGTTGGGCGGCAGCAAGGCTGGCAGCAGCTGGACCCACAGCCGCTGGACCCACAGCAAGTGGGCCGACAGCAGGTGGTCCTGCAGCAGGTGGTCTGACAGCAGGTTGGGCGGCAGCAAGGCTGGCAGCAGCTGGACCCACAGCCGCTGGACCCACAGCAAGTGGGCCGACAGCAGGTGGTCCTGCAGCAGGTGGTCTGACAGCAGGTTGGGCGGCAGCAAGGCTGGCAGCAGCTGGACCCACAGCCGCTGGACCCACAGCAAGTGGGCCGACAGCAGGTGGTCCTGCAGCAGGTGGTCTGACAGCAGCAAGGGCGGCAGCAAGGCTGGCAGCAGCTGGACCCACAGCCGCTGGACCCACAGCAAGTGGTCCGGCAGCAGGTGGTCCTGCAGCAGGTGGGCTGGCAGCAAGGGGAGCAGCACATGGTGTCAGGGGTGGAAGGTGAGTTTCTGTTCAGAGGTGAGTTTCTCAGATTTGGTGACCCCTTCTGTTCTGGGGCTTTTATACTCTGGACCCCAAATGTTGGGACCAATAAGGAGGACTTTCCTTGTTGTTATTTATGTTGTTTTTGTAATCACCGGGAAATTGTCAAGGAGGAAGTTGTTCCCTTTGTGTTCTGAGGCTTCTGTAAATTACTGTTTGATATTTCCCTTAATTGAGAACAGTATTCACAACCGTGTCCAGAAATGAGACAGTCAGGAATCATCTCAGCAACATCTCTGGTCATGTGACAGTTCCTGCTGCCTTAGCGAAGGTCCGAGCAGTTATCTCTTCTCAGTTTTGTTTCTTAGAATAGGATGTGACTTTAGTAGAGGAAAGAGGCATGAGAACTAGACAGATTGACCAAATAATAAACCAACTTGAATCCAGAGCCTGTTTCGTGCTGCTGGACCCAGGAACCTGGCTGACCAGCCCTATGACCAGACCAAGGGAACCTACAGTACAAAGGAAGATTCCAGCTGAGGTTACTAACAACTCTACCCAAACCATAAAAGGAAACAGGAAAACAAAGCTTTAAGCCATACCTTGCACAAGTTAAAGATAAACCCAACCATTCATTCCATTCTTTATTTACTCCCTATAATCAGCCATTTATCATAGAAACTAAGGGACAGATATAAACCGAATTCCCCAAACACCGGGGGTCTCATTCTCAGACTCTGCAAGAAGACCATGCTCTGTCTATGGAGTGTTATTCCTTCCCTAACAAACTTTTCTTTGTCTCTAACTCTGGCTGGATCTTGAATTCTTTCCTGCACTGAGCCAAGGACCCTCCCTTTCTCAGAGTAGGACTTGAGTCCCCACTCGGGGGGATTCGCCCCTTTTGCATCACATTGTGAAGTCAGCTCCTGATGGGTTCTGCGTTGAAGGAAGCCCTGCTAGAGTCCTTGTGTGATCTCCCAGAAACTCTCGTTCAGGGCTATAAAATTTATATCTGTAGCAACCTACTCAAAATATGCTTCCCAGTTCTATCACGGACGCTTGGGTAGAGGACAGGAGGCACTTGTTTTTTTTGTTGGCAAATCGGCACCAGAAGAGAACAGAGGCAGAAGCAGTGCCCTGGGTTTCAGAGCATCAGTTCATTAATGTTCCAGCCCCATTTTCCGGCCAGGTCAGTGATCTCAGGTGAGACATCAAACTTGCACATTCTTTGTTTTATAAATTGAGGCAAACAGATAAGATTATAGCCAAGGTATATTTGATTGCGAACATTTATATATTTCAACAAATGTGGAAACTTATTAGCCATAATCTCCTAAAATTTTTCTGCCCCATTCTCTCTGTCTTCTAGGTACCTACGTAGGAGTGAAATTGTCATATAGTGAGAGCGGAGTCAACAGTAGTAGAAAGAACAGAACAGGTGTTTCACCTTTTCACTCCCAGCAATGTCTCCTGCTCTCCCTGATATCGTGAGCCTTCTGTTCTACTGGTACGTAATTATGCATGTTTTTTTTTTTAATTGAAGTATAATTCACACACATCATTATATTAATTTCAGGTGTAGAACATAATGATTCAATATTTATGCATGTTACAAAATAATCACCACAACAGTAAGTCTAGTTAACATCTGTCACCATCCATAGTTAACAATTCTTTTTCTTGTGAGGACGTTTAAGATCTACTCTCTGAGCAACTTTTAAATATGAAATACATTATTCATAACTATAGCCACCATGCTACACATTCCATGCCCATGACTAATTCGTGTTAATACTGAGAGTTTGTATCTTTGACACCCTCTCCCCATTTCGCCTACCAACCCATCCCCACCTCTGGCAACTAACAATGTGTTCTCTGTATCGATGAAGTCACTTTTTTGCTTTTACAATCAACATATAAGTGAGATCACATGGTATTTGTCTTTCTCTGTCTGACTTCTTTCAGTTAGCATAATGCCCTGAAAGTCCATTCAGTTGACACAAATGGAAAGATTTCCTTCTTTTTATGGCAGAATAATATTTTATTATATATATAAATATATTTTTAATTTGATACAGAGATAGAGATGTTACTTAAAGAGAAAGAAATTTAAGTTGGTTTCAATAGTACTTTTAAATACATTTTCTAGTGACAGCTACTTTGGTGGGGAGGGGAGGTAGAGAACTGGACAGGGCAGTGATACTAGCGCAAGTCATTTGGCTTCTCATCACTAAGCACCTTTTCTCAAAATTTATCGGCCTTCTTTATCAACTTACTGGTAAAAAAATAAAATCCTTAAACATTTTATTTAATTATTCTACAAATATTATTGAGCACCTGTTGTGTGGCAAGAGCAGTGCCAAGCTCTAGGATCGATGGTGGGGAAGGAATGGCTTCTCTCTTCTCCAGTAGATACCCCTCTGTGTCG